TTGGGTCGACCTTCCCCTTCCCTTTCCTGTCGACAACAGGTTGCAATTTTTCTACCTGTATGTGAAATTGGAGAATTTCAGACATAAAATCTGTAACTATGTTCAGTGATAGATAGATTGAACATATCATGTACCTACCTCGTCGATCTTCTCGAATCCTTCGACAGCAGCTTCCGTGTCTTCATATTCATTAACTGGACAACCTTTCCTATCATTGAATCGCCTTAATATCTCATCCATGGAGCTTGAGATCATTGCAGTCACGGATTCAGACAGGAATTGCATGTTCGTCCTAATCTCGATCATGTCATGTTTTAACTGTCCTTGTATTAGGATGATTTCAGACATCTTTTTTGCCTGATCAGAGTTGAGGCTCGACATCTGTGACTTGATGGCGTCCATCTCCACGGTTAATACTTTATTCTGTGACTTAAGTTCTGAAAGTTGCGCATTCAAATCGTGAAGCACCTGTAAACATGATTAAGATAAATAGTTAAATGTGACCTTATAAAAGATGTCTGTGACCATGAGAATTGAACTGTGACCAGTACTAAGTGAACTGTGACTAGTACTATGTGAACTGTGACCACAATTTGAAAACAATTGAACAGAAATAAAAATAATCTTACAGCACTCCCTTGGATCCCATGATGTTGTTCTTCATTTGGAGAAAGTGGGGGACCTGAAGGGCCTTCATCAGCACGGGGTGTTTCTTGATGGGATAGCCCCTCACATCATCGTGGAGGATCCACAAAATCGTCATCGTCATTTGTAATGTGAGCCTTTCTAACACCAGTGTCCGTTACCAAAGGCACTGATTTCTCACTCATGTGTGAAGGATCAACAGACTTTCCCTTCCTGCTTTCCTTTCGACGGCTGCTCTGAGAAGACTCTGGTTGAATTATTTTGTTATGCTGCATGCCATCCATGTATGGCATTGCCATTTCAATTTCAGTAGGCTTCAGGTCACATATTTCAATCTGCATTGCATTACAGTAAAAGATTAGAGAACCAATAAATTTACCACATGTTCCACTATCAGAAGAATATGGATTACTGAAACATTACATTAGCCTTATTGAAGCAGCCTAGCTCCTCCAACTTAGATGCAGAAGGTTGCTCGTTTGCATTCCAGTTATTGATTCGAGGGTGCGTCCTCAATACCCTGTGACAATAACTTCATCTAGGTCAGGGAAGGTTTCGTAGATCCATGCTTGAAAGGCTACCAACATACCTCGTAGCCTATGATGTGCGGTTTGTCGACTCAATGCATCTTTTAAAGAACTCAAAGTAATCTCAAACAGTAACTTTCCCCATGGAAAACTGTTCAGCACGGGGAAATCCTCAACAAGCGTGAACAAGTAATGGTCAACCACTTTCTTATAATCTCTAGGAAATAAGTATGCAGTAATGAAGTACAGGATACCAATGAGTGCCATCATGATCCGGGAGAGTTTCAACAAGATCCAGATCAGGCATTTGGCAAGCAGATGTGAATGTGGACTTCACATCTTCATGTGTCACGATATCGACTTGGGAAAAGTACTTATTCTTCAGTTGTGACTGTCTACTTTCAAAAATGCCCGTGTCACTATCGCCAGAACATCTCAGCCCCGTGACTATGCAAAACTCAGATATAGAGAATCTAACATAACGCCCAGCAACTAAAAACCACAACTCTGTAGGATTAGGTTGTTGGACCTGCCGCAAGAGGAAGTAGTGAATTAATTGCGGTTGTACCACAATTTCATGGCAGTCGAGAAAATGGGCAAAGCATGTTCCCTTCATAATGAGCTTCTGTCGGTCAGATAATTTTGATTGGATACTTGAAAGTACACCCTTGCTGACTGATGTTGTAATCTTGCCTGGGAACCATCGTTCCTTCGGTATGATATATTGCCAATCCTGCACAAAATTGTTTAGAAAGACCCATTGTTCCATAAATGTAGGGAAATCACACACAATTAGATGTATGCAACTGTGTACTCTGGCTACAGATAGATTAACATTGTTGTATAACCAGAAATAATATGGTCACAGGCATGTGTAATGCTACAACAGAACTTAGTCACAGACGATTATCATGGTCACATGCCACGAGTATCATGTTCTATATACAACTGAATGAGGTCACGTAGGTCACATGCCATGACTATCATGTTCTATATTCAAATCATGATACAAAACAATTACTGGCATACATTTTGTTGTGCATTCAAGCCACAAACCATGTAAGCCACAGTCACATTTGACATATTAGTCAAATGTAGGCATCGTTGTTCATAATGCGTACGGTCACAGATGTATAAATAAATACTGTCAACAATCAGGCCACATGCAACAATCAGTTGAGATGTCAACATTCAGGTCACACATTGAGATCTTGGTCACATATAGATAATGGCGAGGTCACAGACAATTGATCAATTGACAAATGACGTACGTTCCTATATACTTTGTTTGTGGTGCTATTTAAGCAACAGTCACAGTTTGACATCTTGTCTCACATGCAACAATCAGTTGAATCATTAGCAATGTCATTAGAGGCCACACATTCATAGCTCCCTTGGTCACACATCGACATCTAGGTCACATATTCATAATGGCGAGGTCATAGACATAATTTTTATTATGTAATTAAGCGACATCTAGGTCATAGGTCACACTCAATATTGGTACCAAGAACCCTAATCCAACGATTAGGGCCGATTAAATGAGGGAAAATTACCTAAGACTTCAATGCTTCTAATCCATGAATTCTATCACCATGTTTGCCAATAAAAACATAATAACTAACAACTAAAATTATAATTACCTTTTTCGAGCGCATTTTCTTCGCGGTCAGAGATGCCGGTTGCTTATTAGGTGGTGTTTTTTTGGGGCTAACCACGGATTTCCTCTTGCTTCTACGTTCGGACGTATCTTCCACATTGATTACCAACTTCGCGGCCTTCGATTTCTCCATTTCAGATGTCCACAGAGATTTGGGTGAAAACGGCGGAGAGTATTATTCACTGCTTGATGTGGCCGGATGTGGCTTGTATTCTAAGTTGCCGGAAGTGAGATCAATGAGCGGTGTAGACGATTGAGATAGTGGGAGATAGATGAAAAAGCGAAATTCCGGCACACTTGAGAGGAACCGTGTAGAGGATTGAGAGATTGGGAGCAAGTGAGTGAGAGATATATGAAATGGTTTATTATGGAAGTTATTATAATTACAATTCAAATTGCGATATTTAAGGGAACACAGCAGTTGCAATACATATCGTTGGAAAACTAAATTATAATTTTATATTTAAATATATAATAATTAAATTAAAACCTGAGATTTGCATAAACAATTTCGATGGCTGAATCTTGCACAGTGATCTCCAAATGTCGGGAATTCTATAATTTCCACTTAGATTTATAGTTCATAATGATATTTGTGATTGGGCCAAATTTATTAAGTTATCAATTGAACCTTTTATACTTTACAAATTGTATTTAATATGATGTGGTAATTTTAAGTATGTGGGTCGAAAATATATGTAAATCCTAATTAAAGTTTAAGTCGTAATGTGATGGTTTGATAATTTTTTATATAAATGTTAGGTCCCTTCTTCTCTCCATATTGTTTTACTTTATGAGGAATGAGGAGGGGAAAATCTAGTTGCTATTATTCATATTAACAATGGTTTCCGCATGTATGAATTCAATTTATTACTTTGCGATTCTTGATTCTTATCATGATTACAATTAAATTTCAACGTTTTAATGAAATCAAACATGGGCTAAGAGAGATTTGAGTAGGGAGAAGTTACCTTTTGCATTCTTTTGCATTGAAGTCTCTTTTATTCATTTGCTTTCTTTGCCATGGAAAACTTTTTGTGAATCTAGGCCACGAAACAAAATCCACATCTTTGTACTAGGTGAAGAGCCGGAGTCATCATAAAATTTTCAAAAAAGATTCTGTCAAAAGGATATCAATTGCTGATATAAGTGATTCTACTTGTGATGGGATCAAATCTTCAGATTTTCACTCTGGAACAACTGAAAGAAATTACAAATTATTTTTCATCAAGTAGTTTTTCTTGGTAAAGGTGGATTTGAGCAAGGCCACTTTTAAAGGTTCCTAATGAATATTAATGGATCCAAGACTGGAAATTCAACACATTCCTTCACAATTATCAATTTATTTATACGAGAAAAACGTAGAAAATTCCTCCAAATATACCCTAATCTTTATCTCATTTATATAAGTTATTTCAGTTAACAAATTTATGCTAGATCCGAGCTGAGGGTTGTCTGGTTGATATTTATATGGGGAAGATGGAGTTTGGTAGATACTTAATCCATGGACCGGAAAGCTAAAATTAAGCAAATTACTATGATTCTTTTCCAGCTCATTATGTGGTTTACATGCCAAGAAAAATATTAAACCTTAAGAGGATAGCAGGTTGCTATCTTCTGGTCCGGTCCGGTCCGAAGGATTAACACAAAGCCTTGGAGAGAGAGTCTTTCGCGTGTAGCAGTATCTCAACTACAACTGGAGAAGCTGGAGATTTTTTTTTTTTATGTCTTCCTCTCTTACAGCATAAGTATGATGACTTAGAGATGTGAAATGAGACTGATTAAAAACAAGAAAGACAAGACAAGAACATAAAGGATAATAAAGAATTTAATACAATACTATCTTAGAACAAATCATAAAGTACAATTTGCACAAGAATGTGTTGTATACAATTGCATTAACAATGTGCAATAACAGATCGAATATCTCACACAATTCATTGACAGATAAATTCTTACGATCATCCCATAGAATATTTTATTCTGACTCTTTTAACCCTATGAACTTGCTCAAGATCGGATCTTGGATTCGCCTTGTTCTCCGAGGAAGTATTCTCCTTGTTGTCTTCAACCTTAAGTGTTGATTCTGGGCTCGACCTCTTTGCACTTGCACTTGCACTTGCTTTCTTGACAGAAACCATATGATTGTTTATCTTTTCATGGGTTTCTTTCGTATTTCTTGCGCACTTAATCTTGGACCTTTCGCGGTCCTTATTAAGCTTCATGTACTTTTTATTCAGACGCGACTTTACGGTGGCTAGGTAATCTTCAATGGAGGTCGATTCGTTCTGATTTCTTTTCAGTTCCTCTGCCATTTGATCCACGGCCTCCATATTTGATTTCAAAGAATGATACTTCATGTCAAATTCATACATTTTTTCCTCACAATCGAACAGGACTTCTTCACATTCAGTTATCTGCTGCAGCACAGCATCCAGTAAAAACCTGGAAAACTCAATATCCAATTCCGGGTGATCCTTGAATATAACAGAAACCCTCTCACGAACCCGATCAATGTCCTTGTATTTCCGAAAACCATTAACAGCATCAAGAAACGATTTAAACTTGTAATCATCCTGCAATGTTTCCGCAACCCAATTCACAAATTCAATACAGGATTTTGTTTTTTCCCTTCCAACCTCATCGGATGAATTTCTTGACGTTGTTGAAGCAGAAGCAGAAGCAGCAGCAGTATCTTTGTCCCTCCGTAAAATCTTCGGCACAAAATTGAGGAATTGTGAAATCAAATCCGGATGACCGCTGAACAAGTTCTTCACCTGTGAAATGACACTTTCTGGCTCTGTAAATTCTCTTCTGAACCTTTCACAAAGATAACGAAACTCTTGATAAATGCTTTCTTGATCGTGAAACCGTTGCTTCACAATATCAACGAACGACAGGGCATTGTCGAAATTCGGTTTAAACGCCATAATTTCTCAATAAAGGAATAGCAATGACATGAACAGAAAATATAATTTGTAATCGGAATTTGCCATATTCAGACATATATAGGAATTTATGAAGTCGAGTTCTAATTGAATAAGGCAACAAGATAAAATCAGGTTCGAACTAATATATCCCCATTTTCGACGTTTCCTCCATTTACTTATTTATTTATTTTTCTAACATTACTTTTTTTTTATTATATTAATACTGCATATAATAAAATAATAAGAGACGGGGTAGTGAACATACTCCCTTCCGTACCCTGATTTACCAATGTGGTTGGAGATTGTCATCCCTGTATTCAGTTTTATATAAATTTGGTATTTAAGTTTCAAATATCTAGACTTTTAGAGGTAAAATCATTTTTATACTTAATTTTAATTAAAAGATGAGAAGAAAGGGGGAGGGGG